TTAAATGTCTTTCGGTGAGAAAGTCCGTAAATTTAAATATTACAAAATTAAATACTAAATATATGCGAAACAATAGAATAGCAACCGAGTAAAATTCAAATAACAGAATGGAATAAAATTCGCACGTTGTTGTTTCATTTACATTTCGTACGCGTATTCCTTCTCTCTCCCCGTTCGTTACCCAAAAATTGTAATTTAAATCATTTGTAATAAATTAGAATTGGACATGGCTAAAAAAGAAAAAAAAAAAGGAAAGAAAATTTTCCATAAACCTCTCTCGCCTCTCTCTCTCTTCTCTTATTCGTCATGAGAGAGCAATGGGAACGCGGTCGAACGTGGCTTTTAACTTTGTGGTTGTGGTTGTGTAGTGATACGTTGTTGGTGGGGGTGAAGGTGAGGGTATAAAGAGGAGGAGGAGGAAGGGAGGTAAGGGAGAGGGGGAGGTAAAGGCGCCCCGCAAAGTTACCAAATCGCTATGGCGTAACATTTTGCTTATTCACGTTCGATTATACAATCCGGCACACTTTTACTCCGACGGTCCGACTAGTGTCGCCATATTCTCTCTCGTTACACCGTAGTTGTTATACGGTGTTTCCGCACGCTCGCATTATCAAAAGATTCTTTACACCATCATCGGTCCTCCTCCTCGTAGTAATGTTAGTAGTGGTAGTAGCGATAATAGTCGTTCGAAATTTTTTTATCCTTATGATTCCAAAAGGAGGCCACGAATATTGTTTTTCTTTACTTGTTTTATCTTATTTTCTTACACACAACGTTTGCTATCTAACGAATTTTTTTATTCGTACACTTAGTATACATGTGAAAACCACATATATATGCAATATATATATTGTGGTTAATTATTAAAAAAATGGATAATTAATATTTAACAATATTTTCAATGTAATCGAGTATTATATTATATTTCAAGGAATATTGTTGTAAATTAATTATGTTATGTATACATATATATGTATTTCCGTACAACGTTGGAACCTTAAATTATCAAATCGTTATATGTGAATGGATTGAAAAGTTATAAACCTAACAACGTTATTTACGATCAACAAATTAACTTATATCGAAGTAAAATGAAAATAATTCGAAACATTCGAATCAAACACCTTCGTATAATTATTTTTAAATACAGTTAACATAAATTGTAATAAATTATACACGTATAGGTAAATAATTATGACTTTTAAATGAACAAAAAAAAAATTGTTCGCGAATAAAGGATTATAGTAGTAAATCGTGTATCATTTAGAAAAAATAAATGAAGAACGAAAAGAGAGAGAGAAAAAAAAATAATTTCGATCACGGTCACGTTGGTTCTCGAGATACATAATAAAAAGAGAAAGAAAAGTATGGTAGTAGTAGTAATAGTAGTAGCCAACAATATTAGTGTTAGTAGTGATGGTGGTGGTGTGTAGTGTTCGCGTTATGTTCGCGTTTAGCTATAATGGAAAATCGGGTCGAACGCGTTGTTAGACTCACGGAATAGTTTCGAACCGGGGAAAGTTAGATTTGATATATTGTCGATAGAGAAATAGAAGAGTTGAGAACTAAACTGACCACCATCACCATCAAAGCGGAATCTTGTCGTCTTCGAGTCAGGTGTCTTCATTCGTTCCTTTAGAAATCGAATCAGACACCACACACACACACGGTTATTATAATTATGGTGAGAGGATAATTAATTTCGTTTCTGCGCAAATGTATGTATGTATGTATGATATATATATATGTTTTTTTCTATTTTCTTTCTTTTCCTTCATTTCCTTTTGTTTTTATTAATTTTTTTTTTTCTCTCGATTCGTTTCATTTGCTGCCATAATTGATACAACCGACAAGCCTTCCCCCCCCCCACTTTCTTCCCACCCAACCCTCGCTCGTTTCCTTCCACCCCGATCATTTAATTTTTTTCCTTTTTTCGAATGAAATAAATTTCACCGTATGCAGGATTTTTATACACACTTAATATTATACCATCGTGGAATAAAGTTTTCACTTCGGAAATTTCTTTTTTATTCGCGATGCAATAATATCAGAGTGAAAGAGACAACCTTGGCGCCATTCTCCCCAATCTACCAATCGCCATACTTTTAAGGTACCTTCTGTTACTTTTTTTTTCTCGTTTGTATCTTCCTTTTCTGCTTCTTTTTTTTTCATTCCTCATTTCTCGTGATTTTTCAATCACAGACGTTGCGTGCCAGGTGCGTGCCGACAAAATCAGCTGCCACTTTAATCGAATATCGTATGAGAATTTGTGCAGAAAAAGAAGAAAAAAAAAAGAGAGAGAGAGAGAGAGAAAGATATATACATTTGCACGGATTACGCGATGTCCGACGAGTACCCACACATACACATATACACACACATATGTACATACATACGTATATTCACGTGTTCGCGTGTACACACATCATATCATACAAATATATATTCTCTGACGTGCGAAAGTATGCTTCCTTTATCGAAATCGAATAATTTTCTGTGTGTTTGTTATTATTAATGTGTGCAACGACAGCTGCTGCGTACGCTTTCCCAGAGATTGTCATTAATTATTATTACCGCAACGTAGTTCGGCCAATTCCTCTCATATACGTTTATATTACTACTACTATTACTACTCCGATATTTATACATATAAATATAAATTCTCTTATCGAAATATAATGATATATATATATATATTTCACTTTAGGGTTAATTAGTTTCTCTCTTTCTTTCTGGCTTTGATTTATTTATAAATTTTCCAATTTTTATCCATTCAATTTCTTTCTTAATTTTTATTTCTATATAATATTTGTTTTTTATAATCATTTATTATTATTATTATTATTATTATTATTCGTTCATTATAGAATAAACAAATTGATACATTTAATCGTTTGCAAAAATTTGCATGAAAATTCATTTGTACGTTCGTACACAAATTCTTATAATATATAAATTAAAATAAAAAAAAATAAAAAGAATATTTAAAAACGATACACCTCCCCCCTCCATCCTTCCTCTCTCCCCATCGTATATAATTTTTACTTCTATTCAACAAAATTGTTGACGTGTTGATCAACTGATGTTTCTTTTTAATTTCCTTTAAGTAAAAAGCGAGTTACAAAAAGAAAAGAAATCAAAGAGAAAGAAAAAGAAAAGAAAAGAAAGAAAGAAAGAAAGAGAAATGAAAAGGAAGAGTTGCGTTTGATCTAACGTTGAAGTAAATCGGTAAAACTCGTACGTGTGTATATATATATGTGTATGTGTATGTGTGTATCATCTAACATAAGGCAGGAAGCGTATCTGGGCCGTTAGAATCGGAGAACGTCAAGTGGGTCACGGGAACGAATCGAACTTCTTCTTCTTTACTTCTTCTTCTTCTTCTTCTTCTTCTTCTTCTTCTTCTTCTTCTTCTTCTTCTTCATATCCTTTCATATCACTTTTTTCTCTCTCTCTTTTTTTTTTAATTTCCTTTAGGATACATCGAAGTGAAAAGAAGAGAAGAGAAGGTGTTTAAACATCCGTTGAGGAAGTTCTCGATCTCAAGTTGTGTGAACAAGTAAATAGATCAGTATCAAGTATGCACTTTGCATTCATACATACATACATGCAATTTACGTGTAAATAATTTATATACGAAAGTATAAAATGCATTACAATGAATCAACAGGAATATTCGTAACTCAACCCGATCCACCTCCTTTTTCTCATCCTTTTCTTTCTTTTCCTATTTACATTGAGTTAGTTTCCCCTTTTTTTATCAATGTCAAAAAAAAAATTGAATTATGTTCGTATTTTATTATTATCGATAATATTGAATTTTAAATCATCGTGCGTTCTCTTTTAAGTTTTCCCTCTAATAGCAAAAAATCACGTTTCACTCTTTATATTAGTTAATTGGTAGGTAGATAGATGATAGAGGTGAGAAAGTAAAACAAAGTGTTGTTTCATTTTGTTATTTTGGATAGATTAGATCAATTAATTCTTATTATATTTCTTTTCGTTCTGATTTTCTTTTTTTTTTGTTTTTTTTTTTCAAACACAATGTTTTTGAAAATTTATTTTCATTTTATTTATATATTTCTTTCGATTAAAAATTAATATTATTTTCACAAGAAATACTAACATTAATATTTTATTTATTCAGAGATCAAATTAGGATTATTTTTTATTATTTTGTAATTATTAAATGCAGCAACCTCCAATGAATTATATGGTTCTTTTTCTATTTTTTTGTTTTAACAAACACAAATTTAATATTTATTTATAAAACAATCGTATATATATATATTAAAAAAACAGAACAACTTTAACGATTATTTTGTCAAAATTGATCGAGAAACCGTCCTATCAATTCCTTTTTTTTTTTTTTWTTTTTCTTTCCCCTTGTTTTTTTTTTCTTTTCTCTCTCTCTCAAATATGGTAAACCCAAGATTGATATCGAAAAATCCCAGTTTTCTTTATCGAATATTTGTTTCTATCGATCAGGTATGAGATACATTCTCGACTGTCGTCGAGGAGACCGACAACTACGATAAAGAAACGAGGTCAAAGAAAAGTCCCCTACCCCTGGCCCCTCCCTATCCTCATCCACCGCCTCCTACGTTACTTCTTCACACAATCACAATCTCGCATATACACATACACATACATAAACGAGCAAGCACCTGTGAGAATGAACCATTGCACACGCGATTCTTTCGAAATATTCGATAATCAAACCCGTCAGTCGTATCGATACCAGAACAACTATGAAGTATTTTTTTTTTGGGGTTTTTTTTTTCCTCGTTTCAATAATTTTTCGTACGTTTTCGTTCCTTTTTTCTTTTCTTTTTTAAAATTAAACGCGTAACTAAACGATCGATAAAATTTCTTCTGTTTCACGAATTAAATTATGCACGTGAACGTTTGAACATTAATCGAATAATAATTTGAGAAAATAAATTTGAAAATATCTATACGCGAGAATTTAATTTAACAAAATATGAATATAAACTTACATGTAGGTGGTTGACGATAGTGCAAATGTTGAAGACTTTGCGTTTGGTGATGGTGATGATGATGTGGGGGTCCCATTGCCGTTCCCATACTATGATTACCATGTTGATTGTGTGGTGAACTTCCTCTGTGCGGGTGATACTGAGAGGGATGATGTTGATGAGGATGATAAGAGGGTGGTAGAAAACCTGCCGTAGATGGATATACGCCAGGACTGTGACAGGCTGACCTACCCAAAGCTAAATTAACAAACACAATTTTCAATTGTCATTAATTATCTTCGTATTATTTCATTTATATATCAACAAATATATGCATATATTGTGTTACCTAAAAAAAGTCAACATAATATCATGTCGACGATTTTTTTTTGCAATATATTATATAATAAATGTTTTCTTATTTTTTTTTTTTTCCTTATTCAAAATCAAATCAAAATATTTTATGTGATATACGTAAAATATATTTTTTTTTTATGTTACTGCAACATGTACTGTAAAATTGTTCTCCCCCTCGCCCAAAAAAAAACGGTTACTGTATATAAAATATTTTGGAAGATAAACGAGTTGTTAAAATAAGATGAAGTATCTCATCGTTGAGAGATCTTACCTGAGGATAAGTGTGAATGATGAGACGCCAGACTCGGTTGTAGGGAGGAATTAGGATTGAGCCTAGCTTTTAATAGGAGATTCGCGTCCTCGTTACCACCTGAGGACGTACTTGATTCTACGTCACTGACTCCACTGTCCGCAGGGCTGGCTGGCAGTGATCCGCTTCCTGGGATTTTTCGTTTTGTGTTTGCAAAATGTAACAAAGTAAAAAAGACATACATTTGCCATGTAGATTATTTTTAATATCATATCGAAATCAATAACACTCAATATATAACATATATATATATATAACTAACTGACAAATAAAATTCAAATAATAACACAATAAGAGTTATATGAATCACATATATACTATAAATGACGAATATTATTCTAAAAAAATATAATTATAT